TTAATTTTATAGAAAATATCATAAATTTAGATAAAAAATGTATGAGACAAAGATTTAGGAATTGATATAAATATGTGAACTCTAAATAATTTTTTTTTCTCAAATAGAAATAAAATAAAGATTTAATTATATAATTCTATAATTTATTTATTTATATTCTTTTTATTTGAGAATGATTCTAGAGAATAAACTTCTCAAAGGAGGTACAAGCATTGGATGCATGATGATTAAGTGTATAAATTAAAAAAGAAGAATAATTATAAATAAAGAGTTTGATTAAATATTTAAAGATAAAGTTTCAATGCATGTTCGAAATTTATTTATATAAACTTACATTAATATGCTTATCTCTAGATTTATTAAGAAAAATTTATTTCTTATAATTCAAAGATAATACTGCTATAATTAATGAGCATTATTAATAATAGCATTAAAATTTTCTTAATAGCATTAAAATAGCATAGAAGAATTAAAATTATTTGGAGTATGAAATTTCACTTCTTGAAATTGTATTTTAAAATCAAGTGAGGTAGAATTAAGATTTAATTATTTATAATGAAAAAACAGATTAGATTAATTAATTATTTTAAAATAATAAATCTTTATTAAATTTTGATTATGATTCAAACTTATATTAATTTGAACATTTTAAACTCTATTGTTTTTATTAAACAATAAAATGGAAAATAATCAAGGAAATAAAAGATTAAAATTAATAAACGATTGATATCCCAGTTCAAATGTATAAATAAGTTTTTCATTTTCATCTTTAAAATTATTATTGTTTTATTCATCATAATTGGTGGATTTCTAATATATTTGACATAATGGCATATTAATCAGATGATTCAAATAATATAAAAAATAAAATTGAATAAATATCTAATAATCTTGTTGATTGTTTAAATTTTTATTCGAATTTGTAATAAGATGTAATAGTAAACAAAAGAAAATTCAAACTTCAAAATTAATAAAACTTATTATATTTGGAACAATTAAATCAAGCTTTTGAAGAGACTTTTAATAAAATAATAGAATTTATAAATAAGCTAAAAGAAGATTAAAAAATGAATAAGCATATAAATTCAAATGTTAATAATTAAATAAATTAAAAAGTTTATATTTAAAATTTTTAGAAATAGTCAATGAAATATATTAATTTTCAAAATTAGAAATACAAAAAATAAAATCTGTAGATAGCATTCAGATAAAATAAAAAGAATAATTAAATTTAGAAAGAAAATAATATGATTTAAGGTATTTTGAGAATTTTGAAGAAGATAATCAATAACTGTTAAATCTGATAATAGAACTTGAACTTTAATTAATTGATTAAAGAAATGTAGAGTAGGAAAATTAAATTCAAGGATTTTATTAAATCAAATAATTAATACCAAAAACTAGAAAAATTAATTTAAAATCTCATAAATATAAGAGAAAATTAATTATTTAGATTAAAAAGTGAAGAATATTTGAAGAAAAAATAATTAAAAGAATAATAATTTTAGAGATAAGAATAAATGGATAACGAAGAAACAGAGACTAAAATAATTATTCCTTTTGATTTTACTTTTTTGATTAATAATGAGAGTATATAAGATAGATTATTATAATCAATTACTAGCAAAATCAATACTGAGAAAAATAATAATATATAAGATGAATGTAAAAATTATTCAAATGATGATTTAAAAGAATTTTTTTACAAGAATCTTAGTCTTGAGATTTCATATAAATCGATAACATATTCAAATAAAATTAATTCAAAAAAAGTAGATTTATTTATATAAACAATAAATAATTCAACTGATAAAATATCATATCTAGATAAATTAAAGTAGTAATATCAAGAATTTTAAGATATAACATCTTTAAAAACTAATAATAAAAGTGAAATATAATAAAGCTATGAATCCTAATTAAAAACACAAAGTTACAGAATTTATTTCTTAAGTAGTTATTGCAATCAAATAAATAGTGGTTGAGATAAATTCATAAAATAATGAATTTTTTGAGAAAGGAAAAGAATATGTTATAAATTTATATTCTACTATAATAGAAAAACTTGAAATAAAAAGAAACAAACATAAAAATTATAACAGAATAAACTTATTCACAATTATCTAAAATAAAATAGTTAATTGCCAATAGTATTTCAAATAACAATCATCCTAATAATTAAAATAAAAACAATTATTATTTTCTTAAGTAAGGATATGAAAAGCTTGATTAGATGATTAAAAATCGAATAGATCAAATAAAAAATTTTAATTTAACTTCAAACATAATATTTTAAGATTTACAAGATTTTATATATAATACGTAGAATTGTATTAGTTAATTTTTCAATCTTGATGATTACGATGAATCTTATTAAATTAATAAAGAAGGGATTATTTCTAAAATTAATTCAAGTCTTATTAATTTTCCTCTAATAAATACAATAGATAAAATTAGAAATAATATTTTTTCATCAGAAGTTAGAAGTTAAGGAAAAGATATCTGAAAATATCTAGAAAAATTGGGTTAGTTGTAATAATACAAATACAAAATAAGAATTAGAGAACAAATAATCTGATTGGAAAGAAATATAAAAAAATTAAATTTCAAATAATTTAATTTAAAAAAAATAGGAAATATTATTAAAATTCAAAGACTTTTAAGATTTAGTCATAAATGATAAAAATGAAAAAAGGAATCTTTAATTACTAACTTTATAAACTTTAAATACAATAAGAATGATGAAATATTTTAATGAAGATTCAGAATAACTTGAGTAATTTTAAGCTGAAAATTTAATTTAATAATAAAAAGATAAAAAATAAGAAGAACAAATTGAAAATAAATTTTTAAATATTTAATAATAAGAAGTCTTCACATCATATTTTAAAAGTTTTGCAAATTTTCTAAAACAAGAATTTAATATACTATTTAATCTTGATTTCTGTTAACTTTCATTAAACCTGATCTATGTTAATCAAAGATTCAAAGTTAAAAAATATGATTAAAAAATATAAGAGTATATTATTTAGGATAATTTATACTAAAAGGTTTAATAAAATGAAATTGAAGAATTTCTTAATGATTAATAAAAATAAAGAAAATTATTATTGCTTTCTGGTTAACAGGGATCTGGAAAAACTAGAGAATTATAAATTCTGAATCATGAATTAAGGAAATAATTTTTTTCAAATTAAAATGCTGTTAATAGTTGGATTCCAATCTATATTTCTTAATCCTAGGTTTAATAGGTTAATAAACAATTTAAAAACTTATTTTTTTTTAAAATAATGTAATTAATTAAAGATAAGAATTCATATGAGGAATTCAAAAATTCTGTCAATTCCCTAAATTAAAGGGTTTTATTTTTAACATATTTATATTAATAAGTCAGAAATAATCAGTTAAATTATCTTTCTTTTTGCTAGTTCTATTAAATTAATATGAACAAATAAATTTATTAATTAGTGTATAAAATTAATTGTTATATTTAATAATCTTAATTAAATTTCATAATCTCAATAGTCTATTGCACCATGCTATTTGAATAGTTCATTTAAAGAATGCGTTTTTGTATTTATTTAAGCATTTCTGATTTAACATTTTATTGCAGAAAAAGCTGATATCATTGGAATTGATTTCTTTTGATATACAATATCATTGAAAAATTATAAAAAAAATAATAATACATTTTATTATTTTTATGTAGATTACAACTATGATTTAATAAAATTGTAAAAACTAATTTCTCCTTACTTAGTAAGTGTAATTATAATTATATCATTTTAATTAGAAGAGATAAATATGCTAAAAATTTACCTCTTTGAATCTAATATTTTAATTAATTTCAATTCTTTATCAAAAATCTAGAACAAATAAATTTTTAAACTTTCTTCTTAAATAACTAAATAATTTTCATTTTCTGAAAAAAAAACATTTATAATCGAGTTTATATTTTAAACTTAAAATGTTTGAATATTTTCATAATTAGAAATATCAAATATTTTTACAATTACTTATTTTTTTTACATTCCACCACATATCATCATTTTATTATAAACTGATATAGATTTAATTTCAAATTCAAAATTTACATCTCTTTTTTAAATTTCTGAGTCTGTACAATATATTAATTTACATTCTTCTTTCTAAAATCCAATTAAAGTTAATTATTTATCAATTATAATAGATCTTATTTTTGACCAATCATAATTAGCTTTTATAATTCTAGTATGAATATATAAATTTTCATTGTCAATCTTTGAAATAAAATATTTTTCTTCATTAATAGACCAAATTAATTCCATCAGGTGTAAAAGTAATTGCTGATTCACTTTAAAATTAAATGTAATCTAATACTTTTGGTTATTGTAAAATTAAATTTTGAGAAATACTATTTAAACAATTTAAACAATTTAAACAATATTATTATTAGTTTTAAAAATCATATAAAATAGAATGATTCATAATATCATATTCTTCTTTTCTAATAGCATTAATTAGTTTTTTTTTATGAAAAGATTATATCATTAAAACTAATCTAATAACCAATATCAAATTATATAAGATTATCCAAAGAAATAGAATGAAATTTAAGCAAATTTATTTTATTCTCTGAATCAAAATGATGATAAATGATTGTGTTAGAATCTGTATGAAATTTAAATTTATAACAAGAAGAAATTTAAAATGTAAATATTTGATTTATTTTTTCTAAATCCCAAACTGCTATTAATTTTTAAAGTGATAATAAAGAGGCAATAATTTCCAATTTGGTGAAAAAGTTATATAAAAACACAACTTATTGTTATGATTTATTTCAAAAATTTAATTTTCATAAAATTCATTTGTATTATCATCTAATAAAATCTAATTTTTTCTTTCTTAAATTTCTAATATTTTAATTTTATCATGTTCATTATAAGCTAAAATTAATTAGTTATTTAGAATCCAAATACAACAATGTTAATAATCAAGTAAGAATGTATTATATTTAACAGTCAAAGTTATATTTTAATTGTTTGGATTTTCTAAATTCCATATTTTAATTGAATCATCACAACTTCTCGAAGCAAGAAATTTTCCATTACTCGAATATTCAAGTGATAAAATCTTATTTTTATGACCCTTTAGAGTATTTATTATTATTTAATTTTGGTAATCATAAATTTTGATTGTATCTTTCAAGGTATTTCCAACAAAACTTAATTTATATTCAGTTGGAGAAACAGCAATACAAATTATTTTTTCTTAATCTTCTAATAATTAATATATTTATTATTATCATAATCAAAATTTTGATTCAGAATTTACTATAATTTCCATATTTTAATAATTCCTCCATTATTGTTAATTATTGCTAAATCTTGATTTTCCTAAGTAAAGAATATTTTTTGAAATTTATCGATATTTTGAATTATAATTTTACGTTCTAAATTATAGATATTGGTACAATCCCAAATTATTAATCCATTTTGATTACATTTTGTAAGAAAATAATTACCTTTTGGAGAAAAGTAAAAGTCAATTTATTCATTTAACATGTCATAACATTCATCATTTGTAAAATCCCAAAATAATATTTTTTATGCAAGTTATATTCTAATCAATTATCCTGAAGGCGAAAATTCTGCTTTTTAAACATAACTATTGAATATATCATTAAATTTATTTGAATTAATTATATTCAAATTATACACTTAACAATATCTTTTCTTTTCATTCCATTTAATTAATATATTTTCATCAATATTAATTGAATATTTTGATTCTTCACATCCTCTAAAAAGACTTTTAAAACAATTATCTTAAATATTCCATAAAGTTACATCATTTTATATTAATAAACATATAGTTTAATTTTATCTATAAGATAAAATCTACCATATCTTTTATTGGAAATCAAATTTATAATTAATTTATAATTTATTTTAATTCCATTTATAAAAAGCAACTTCCGTTAAATAAGAAACTGATAGATCCTCTCCATTAAATGATACAACAAAATAATCACCTTCAATCTTTTCTAAAGGTAAAAAGGTATTACGGTTCAATTCAAATAATTTTATCAATCTTTCTAACCCTTTAAATATAAATAATTGTTATTCTTTTCAAATGCAATTAAATTTGATAAGTAAATAGATGTGGAAGAATTTTAAATTATATTTTCCTTTCTCAAAAGATAAGAATTTACTTCAGAATTTTAAACGCAATTCCAATATCTTAAACCATAAGAATCAATTAAACCTACTATTTCACTATTAGGAGAAAAGTTTAAAGTTCCCACAGCTCCTTCTTTAATGTTATTTTCTATTAAAATTGTTAATTAATTCAAATCCCTCAATTAAAATTAATTTTTTGTACATATTGCTATATATTTACAATTATTTGATATTCAGACTAAATGAAAGTGTTATTAATTATTATATTTATTTTAAATCTCCTTGATAATTTAAAAAATTTAATAATCCCATATTTTCACCAATTATGCACTTAATGAAACAATTAATTTACCATCAGGAGATTAAATAACTTATTCAATATCTTCATTTTACTATAAATATACAAATTCTTTTATTTATATATTATCCCATTAAATATTATTTAATTAAGCAAAATCAAAATTACAATTCTTAATTATAACATTATTGAACTTCGATTAATCAAGATTACAATTAAAGAAATTTATATTACAAATAATTGTATTTGATAAATTGATATTTTATAAATCTTATCTTTCAAAATTTAAATTAAGAATAGATGCCAAATAAATGCAATTAGATGAAGTTCGAATAATCAATTTTTCTTTTATATCTTCAGATTGTCTAATATGTTCAGTTAAAATATTTAAAGCACCTTGATAATTTTTAAAGCTCAAATTAATATTTTAATTAATTTTACTATTCTTTAAATTATGTATATACACATCATTTGTTAAATTTCGATATAGATATTGGGCAACATAAAATTCTTATATTATTTTATGTTTAAATAAATGATCATTACCTTATTTAATCATTATATAAGTATTTCTATATAATCTTTTTTTTTCTTTTTCATATGAACATTTTTTATCAAGTTTTATTGAAGTTAGATTATTTAAAGTCATAGAAAGAGCTAAACTTTCATAAAAATCATAAATATAAATATAATTGAAAAAATATTTATTTTATTCCTCTTTTTCTAATTATTAAAACAAAAATCTCAAGAATCTTATAGATTGTTATTTTATTAGCCTTCAAAGCATCAAAAACAATATTTTAATTATTATTTTAAATTTCATAAATTTTACCTTCCATTAAAATACCTCTATAATTACTAGATATTTTTTTAAAATATGAATATTCTTTTAAAAAATTCTGAACTTCTAATTTATCTATTATTTTATCAAACTCTTGTGTGCTTGAACTAATTTCACTACCAATACCAGAATAATTAGAATTTAATATTTATTATTATTGTTTTATTCGCTTAAAATTCTATTTTCTAATTTATTCTTGAAATCCATATGTTGATTTATATTTTATCAATTTAGGCAAAATCAACAATAGGATTTGTAATTATAATGATGTTTAAGTGATACATTCGATATTATGATTCTAAATCATTTAAAGATAACAAATTGAACATTTTAAGTTAGATAATTCTTGAACTAACTTTTAATATTAGTCATCTGTTATTTTTTTTATCAAGTTATTTTTGATAATAATTTTTAGCTTTTCATTAATTAAATCTTCATTTAGAATATAAGTTTTTTAACTCTATTCTTATTAATTAATTAATTCTAAAAATTAAATTTCATAATTTTTCCAAATATCTTCAAAATCTTTAATAATATTTTAATAGCTTTCACAAGAACGAATAAAATATTTAAATATAAATTTCTTAATTATTCTCTAATGATTAAATTAAAAATATTTTTTTCTTTATTCATCATTGAATGGCAATAATTCAATCTCTACTATAGAATAAATAAATAAAAATGAGGAAAATGAAATAAGGTTTTAAATTAGGTTAACAATATAATTGAAGATAAATCAATTTGCAGATCATATTAAAAATTAACTGAGAAGCAAATTTAGTACTTTAATATTTTCTAAAATTATAAAAGATAGTTAAGAGGTTTAAATTATAACTGCTTCAATCTATGATATTTATTTTCATGACTACAATAAATCTCTTTTTTAACCTTTTTTATATTATAAAATAAAGTAAAAAATTTTGTTAAATTAAGGATGTATAACCATTATATTTATTTCCTTTCAATTAATCAATTTGTTATTCATGTTAAAATTAAGAAATTATTTCAGACAAAATAGCGTTGAAGTCTTAGCAATAATGATTATAGTGAGACAACTTTAATTTCCTTAACTTTCACATATATTTAAACAAAATTTTTGATTCAATTATTTTTATTATATTAGTTAAGAATACAAATAAATATATTTACTTAAGTTCTTTTTAAATTATTAATTTTTTATCAACATCCTATTTATTTCACAATCATATGCATTTCAATTTATTTTGGTTTATTGCCAATTAAAATTTTTTAAATTCCATCGCTTGACAAATAATATTTTATATTTTTTAAAGATATCTTGAAGCTTAGATTTTAAAATATAAGAATTAAATCAATATATTTGATAATTATAAATCTATATAATATGAATAATCATTTGTTTTTATANATTAATTAATTCTAAAAATTAAATTTCATAATTTTTCCAAATATCTTCAAAATCTTTAATAATATTTTAATAGCTTTCACAAGAACGAATAAAATATTTAAATATAAATTTCTTAATTATTCTCTAATGATTAAATTAAAAATATTTTTTTCTTTATTCATCATTGAATGGCAATAATTCAATCTCTACTATAGAATAAATAAATAAAAATGAGGAAAATGAAATAAGGTTTTAAATTAGGTTAACAATATAATTGAAGATAAATCAATTTGCAGATCATATTAAAAATTAACTGAGAAGCAAATTTAGTACTTTAATATTTTCTAAAATTATAAAAGATAGTTAAGAGGTTTAAATTATAACTGCTTCAATCTATGATATTTATTTTCATGACTACAATAAATCTCTTTTTTAACCTTTTTTATATTATAAAATAAAGTAAAAAATTTTGTTAAATTAAGGATGTATAACCATTATATTTATTTCCTTTCAATTAATCAATTTGTTATTCATGTTAAAATTAAGAAATTATTTCAGACAAAATAGCGTTGAAGTCTTAGCAATAATGATTATAGTGAGACAACTTTAATTTCCTTAACTTTCACATATATTTAAACAAAATTTTTGATTCAATTATTTTTATTATATTAGTTAAGAATACAAATAAATATATTTACTTAAGTTCTTTTTAAATTATTAATTTTTTATCAACATCCTATTTATTTCACAATCATATGCATTTCAATTTATTTTGGTTTATTGCCAATTAAAATTTTTTAAATTCCATCGCTTGACAAATAATATTTTATATTTTTTAAAGATATCTTGAAGCTTAGATTTTAAAATACATCAAATATATTTTAAATATTGATTTTAACTTTAAAACAAAAAAAAATCTAATTACATATATATTGGAATGTATAAGAATTAAATCAATATATTTGATAATTATAAATCTATATAATATGAATAATCATTTGTTTTTATAGGTTTATGATTTTTTGTTTTAATTCTTAAAATTATTTTACTATTTTTAATGAATTTATAATCCTTCTATTCCCATCAATTTCTTCTGTCCTTCTACTTTTAAATGAGGAATTAAGCTATTCTTTCATAATTCTTCTTTTTTATACCAATCAATTAACCTAAATATCTTTTGATGTTTTCCAAGAAATTTTGAAATTTAACAATCAAATTTGGTATAGTTTGAAATATACACATAAGTATAACTGCAAAAAATGTTAAAGTAAACGAGTTAATCTTATTCTAAAACAAATTGGTTACCTAGTTTCCATTAGAAATCTATTATTGTTGTAATTTATTAATCTCATTTAGATAATTCTTATAATTGAAATATTTCATTTATCCATCATCACTAACAAAATAAAAGCAAATGGAATTTTGTTTTTCTTTTGGATTTCGCTTTACAATAATAGATTTTATCTTGTCAACCTCTGATTAATAATAATTAGGATGAAACTTCAATACATCAATAATAAAAAAAAAGTCTTACTATTTTAGAGTTTCATCTTCTTTGTATTGTCTTAATATCAAAGAAATTTAATTCTCCAAAGAAGCATAAGAATTAAATTTTTGGCCTGCTACGTTAATAAGGGTCTGTTGTTATTTATTCATTATATATAATATCTTTTATTATATTATGTAATTTATTATATTATGCATAAAGTACAATAATTTAGTAATTTATTTGCAAATTGTTGACTTTCATAATATTTGCATTATTCTTAATTTATGGTAACACAAAGTTTCTATAAGATTTTATAACAGACTAAATAAAATAAATATTTTTCTGTAATGAATCTCTATTATAATTCTTATTTCAGATTATTAATATTTTAATTTAAATATATACTATGAATTTTATCATTTAAACTACTTCAAGATTATTTTTGTTGCTTTAAATGAGATCAGATCAATTTTTTGAATAATCATGCTAGAAATATTAAAAGTAACAATTTATGCCAAAAAACCATCAATTCGTAATGAAATACCATATTATTATGAATCTCTCTTTATAAATGGACTCCAATCAGATAAATTTACATCACTGGTATCATAAATCTGAATTATTGAGTCTGATCCTCCTGAGTATAAAAAGTTAGATTCTCATGAATTCCACATACTCATCTCATAAATTACTACTACTTCCATTTAAATTTTATTTTTGCTGGATTTTAAATTTTAATTACATCTTTAAATCATCGGTCATTTCTCAATAATTCAAATTCAATGATGTGATTACTAAATTCTTTATAAACCCTTATTGTAATCCGAATGCTCTAACATTACTTTCAGAAACTTTTAGATTGTCAATCTTTACTCTTTTGAATTTTTATCAGCAAAGCATCTTTTTCAATTACTGCCATTTTCTTCTTATGTAATTTCTCTATTATATCTATCTCTTTTTTTCATAGTCTTCATCAAATTCCTCATAATCTTAATTCTTTATTATTTTTTTACAATTATTAACTATAATAAATTAATAATATTTAGATATTTAATTTTACAATTATTTTTTTTTTCAATTTATATTTTAGGTTTGTAAACAGCAAGATTTTTTATCCAATTTTATTTATTTAAATTATTTTTTTACTAATTGAACAAAATTATATAATTATAAAAAATTCGTTTTAAAACGATAAGAATATACAGAGATTGAAATAATATTCAAATATGAAAACAAAGAATTCAGTTTCAAAGCTTATAATCTAAAAATGTTTTATATTTTTGATGAATTTCTACAAATACTTAAAGTTCTATTCTAAACTAACTCAAAAATATTTAACTTTTATAAAATACAGATGAGAATGAAATATATCATATTTCCTTAGCTTAGTAATTTTTATTAAGAAATCTTCATTTATTATAATAATCGAATTTTATGAATAAATGAATATCAAAGGCTTAATAATTTAGATTCAAAGTGTAAAATTATAAAAGAAAGGTAGCAGATTTTACCCATTTTCAATTTTCATAAGAAGAATAATTTAAAATTAATTAAATTTAAACTATTAACCATTATAAAATTAGAATAAGATTATTGTATTTTTATTAAACTAGAAATAAATATTATCTCAAATTCCATTAATCAATAAAATTACAAATAAACTCAAAATAGATTAAATACTATCTAACATTTTACAATGAATTATCTTCAGAACAACACTTTAACACATAGTGATATTTTACAAATGAAAGAATATTTAAAATAAAATTTAATGAATCAGAATTTAAAATAAATTTGAGAGATATTTATAAAGATAATTTTTAATAATGTTATACAGAGTTCTATGTTTTTAATAATCATTTATCTAATAATGATTTATTATTTAAATTTAAAAAGAATGTATATTGAATCACATAACCGCTTCAAAAATTAAATGTGTTGCCTTTTTGTAAGCTGTCCTTTTTTTCTTCTTTTTAAGACATCTTTTTTTAATTTATTAATAAATCATTATGATCTATTTAATGAAAATTGCCAGCAAACCTGAAATCAACAAATAAATTTAAGAAAAACCTAAAAGGATTTTATTTTCTTCATTAATTAAATAACTGTAGTCCTCTAAATAAAATAGCGAGGAAAAAGTAAATGAAATTATTGAAATTTCTAAGATGATAAATTGTACTTTATCTAATTTTTTTAAATTAAAGTCTACAAAAATTAACATTATTAAGTAAATCATATTTGTTGTTGTTAACATCAATAATTAAATCAATTAATTATTTTGAAAACATATTAAGAAATAACAAAATAAAAACTGTTTAAGCACATAGACAGCTTTGTATTTATAATTTAATTGATATTCTTTTCTTGAGTAGACCTGCTTAAAGAAATAGATTATAAATATTGCTGAGGAAGCCAAAATAATATAACATAATGCTATTTATATTATGGAAATAACCTCCAAATATGATGAGGACTCTAATTATAAAAATGCTTTAAATAGTAAATCCCAGGCATTAGCTAACAATAAATCTATCAAACCATCTTAATAAAATTAATAGATAAAAATTTAGATCTGATGAAAAAAATTATATATCCAATTAAGTGATATTATCATTAGTTTAGATTTGAAACTTCTGAGCTTTAAAACTAGCAAATGTTAGGTTTAAATTTTATAAATTACTTTAAAAGTGATGTAACAAATAAATTTCAATAGAATAACAAATAAAAAAGTTGATATAACCTAAATAAAAAAAAATTCCAAATTATTTAATAAATGAGCATTTAAATTGTAAAATTTTAATTTAGCATAAGACTCAATAAAGTCTGAAAACAATAATTATGAATAAAATTGATTGATGTTGAGATAATTTAAAATTGGTATAATACTTATAAAATTAGTAGATTCAAAAAAAATATAAAGATTTTCAGGATAAATGATATTGATATATTTTAAGTATGATTAGTATTAGAGATTATCTAAAATTTCAACAAAGATTTGAAAATTGCCAGAAATTAAAACAATAACCCCACAAATTCCCTAAGCTATGATCATAACTTGTTATGATTAAGTGAGTTATTTAGTCTTATGTAAATCAGATTCGCTCATAGAGACAAATTACTTTAGAAATATTGATTGTTTAGGATTGAGTAATTTGATATCTTCTTAATTAAATGCTTAATTATTAAGTTGAATATTCAGATTAACAATGCTACTATTTGTAGAAGTTAATAATTTAATTTGAACTTTAAATTAAAAGTGTAGAATTTAATTGATTACTGATTATTAGTTGGATTGTAATTTGATTGAATAATCTGAAGTGGATATTGAATCAATACTAAAATTAAATAGAGTTGATAAAATATAACTCTTATTGAAATAGATGGCTTAAGAGAATGTAATTTCAAGATAATACTTATTATAAGTTTAGTTTAAGAATTTGACTAGCATGTAAGGAGAGGGAGAATATTAACAATCAGAATAACTAAAAGAGATTTCTTAACATTTATATTCAAGTTCAATTTTACAGGTAGAAGTACAACCATCAAGATCAATAATATTACCATCATCACATTCTTCTTCATAAGCTTTTATTCCACTGCCACAGTCATCATAACATTTATTATCAATCAGTAAAAAGTGTGGTTAACATTCATAACAAATTCCTTGAAAACAATTTTTACAATAGATTGGACATGAATATTCACATTTATAGCATCCATCAAATTAAATATTATTACCATCATCACATTATTCTTTTTACTATTATATACCATCTCCACAAATTGAATAGCAAATTCCATCAATATTTAATTCACCATTTGGGCAATTATCATAACAAATACCATTAATACATTTCTTACATCCAACCAAACAAGCTTATTAACATTCATTATTTATCTTAATATAGGGTTCATAGCAAATCAAACATTCTTAAGAATTTATGCAAAATTCGCAATTGTCAGGACAAACAAACTTACAATTTATACACTCATCTTAATTAGAATCACATTCCTCTTGAGAAATTACAGCCACTTAATTATCTCCACAATTTTAAATGCAAATTCCATCATTAAGAGACCAACCATTAATACATTAGATACAATAAGAATTCAAACATTAAAGGCATTAAATTTGACAACTATTATTACATTTATAGCAACCAATCTCTATTCGATTTTAATGAATTCCATCTTCAAATACAAGTATTCCTTTTGAGATTTTAGAAATACATTCATTTTTTAACAGAAAAAGATTAGCTATACATTTCTTACATTATCCGAATAAACAAATTTCACAAAATTAGCTACACGACAATTACTAGATTTGATTGGGATTACTGATTTTTTATAAACCTAGATCACAAAGATCATATAAATAAATATTGTTGGGTTTAAAAATAAATTTAGAAATTAGGATATTGTATCATAAGCAAACATATATCAGACAATATTATAGTCATCACTTTGAAAACCATATTCTTAAATTAAATTGTTATCTAAGAATGAATCTGATTTTTAACAAATAACTGATTCATATTGTGCTTTTTAATCCAAACATTTATGATTAATTTATACATAATTTGGTTAGCAAATCTAGCAAACTCCAAATTAACATAGCAAACAATTTAAAATACTTTAAAAATTACAATTATAACAACCATCATTAGGAAAATTATTTCCATCATCGCATTCTTCATTTTACTGAACTTGTCCATCTCCACATACTGCAACATCAATTTCTTATTAATAATCTAGTAAATCTTTAAAATCAACATGAACTTCATTTAAATTGTCAATAAGAAAATTGTAATAATTTATAATACAAATTCCATTTGAATAATAATAACCTGAAGCACATGCTTAGCATTTACCAAATAAACAATTTCTGCATTATAAAGGGCAAGAAAAGTAACACTTATGACACCCATCATATGGAATTTCATTTCCATCGTCACATTACTCATTTGCTGTAATTAATTAATCACCACAATGAGGTTCACAATTTTTATTATCTACATTAAAATCCCATCTAATATCACACATTAGACATTCTCCATTTACACAAAAATTACATCCATCCACACATGATACTTATTTAGCAAAACAACCATCAAAAGGCGCTAAATTATTATCAAAACAGGAAATCAAATCTATTGGTCCTTGAAGTATTATTTATAATTCACTAATACTTACTTAGCCATCTACACTATATATTTCTAATTTAATATAATTGTTATTATCATCAATCTTATAAGTTCTATAATCAACTTACCTAATTGAACTTATAAGTCCATATCTATATTTATCATTTATATAAACACTTACAGTAATTGGTAAAACTGAATGATATTCAATTCTAAATTGAATTATTAAAGCAATATGATCTGGCAGTGTAAGATAAGTTATGGCTGAATCCCATTTATTTAAGATAATCATTTTGTATTAAACTATTAATTATTTACATATTTACAATCATTTGTTGAATAAGTAAATTAACCAAATCTGTTATTTTTAATCCATCCTTCTAAACCATTATCAAGATTTTATAAGTCAAAATAAGATTTCCACAATTTCCACAATAAACAATCACTAGTTGAATCTAAACAAAACTGACATCCCAAGTAGCATTCATATAATGTTATCCTGAAATCAGTTAATCCCCAAAAGTTCTAAAAACTTTTAAACTAAATATAAATACTGTGATATCACAGTCTGCGTATAATTCAACAATTATTGAATTTAATGTATGATGAGAAAAATTATTATATTAGCTTGAACTATAGTCTGTACCAGGGCCACCACATACATTTAATCCTGTATTTCCCGGAAAAAACCAAGATTGAATCCATTGATCTATGATTATATAAAAAAATTGATTGCTTGGCCAATCATCAATCCTTATGATATTTATATATTTAACTTCCAAAAGTTAATATCTATAATCACTTTATAATGAGGTGGTGGAAGCCTAAAATATTTCGTGATTGAAGTTTTTGTTGATGAAAAGCATCCAAATATCTGATATCCTCCAAATATTGTTGTTCCGCCACAATTATAAATATGAGCAGAGGCTCCATTATAGAGATTTTTTATTAACCATCCTAAATTATGGAAATAATATATACCTTCATCTCCAGAAATTGAAGAAGTAACAAAATTCTAAAGATAGTATGCTTCAACAATTGTTTGTAAAAACTGAAAATGGAACAACCAAAATAACATTAAATAAATATCAATAAGATAAAAACTGAAAACGAGTCTTATATCATTGATTTAATATGATAAAACAAACTCAATCATCATAATTTTCTTAGGTTTACTGATTAACCATAAGTAATGAGATTCTTGTTACTAATTTTCAACATAAAGTACAATTCGTATAACTGCAGCAGATTTCTAAGTTTACACTTTTTTAATGACATACAAAAACATTTAATTTTTCTATTTATATATTTAAATAATATTTCATTTATCATTTTTCTTAAATATACATATGATTGCTTCAATAAGGAACCAATTCTAATGCATACAGCCAAGATGATAACTTAACTTTATTCTAAATAATACCCATCTTTTGATAATTTTTAGTTTAGATCAATGAATGATTCTTAAGAAATATTCTTTCTCTCTATATAAGACCATTAAATCAAAATTTAATTAGTATTTGCTGTCTTGCTTTTTATTTATTATAAATCTAAGATATTCTAAATTGAAATAATTAAAATTAAAATTTCTTACCGCAACATTAGAATATTCTATGATGAATGAAAATTACATAAGGATTTTTTAATTCATTGAAGGAATGTGTTTTGGTAATAAATTATATTATCCAAAACATTGTTGTTATTCTGATATAAAAAATAGTATGGTAAAAGGACCTTCATGAATAGATAATTAGCCAAAGTTTAGAGTAAAAGAGAAAGAGAATTCAATTCAAGTATTTGCTCCTTTGGTTGTACCTAAAAGATAGTTCCATAATATCATTTCAGAGATTATAAGGATTAAAGAAAAGTAGAAATTTATGGAGTTGGAGCAGCTGCATTTGCATGTTTGACAACATTAAAAGAATTCGGTTATTCTGGAGAGATATTTTAGATAACAAATGAAAATTATAATTCATATAATGAAATAGCTTTTTAAAAAACTAGAAAATAAATATTTTTCAAAGTCCAAGCTATTTAGGATAACACATAAAAGCCTCTAAATTTTATAATAAACAAATAATTTTTATAATAAACAAATAATTTTGATGAGAGCATATATATTATTCTATGTATTTAGTCTTTTCATTGAAATGTTATAATTACCCAATAATGAAATTAACTTTTATAGGTCTAATCATCATCTACATTCTCTCTTCTCTTTTTATAAATATATTAATATTTATGATTCCTGATTATCAATTTATTTATAAAGATTATTATAATCTTTCATTTTGAATCAGCGAAGATTTCATCCTTTAGTTTAGTCAATATTCTTTAATTTTATTTATTTTTCTAAATTTAATTTTTTTTAATTATTTCCCAATATGTATTCAATCAACTTTTATGAGAATTTATACCTTATATCATTTATTTTCCATATTTCAATTAATTTCTTAGAATGATGCATAATGGAAAACATTTTTATTCTATTCCTCCTATTTCAAAATAAATTCTCTAATTAATTCTAATTCTTTAAGTAGTTTTCTTGCAAATTATATGTATTTCTCATCATTGTATTGAATTATTCCATCCTAAATTTGAAGGCATGCAACTTTACATAAATATGATGTTAAGTAATGATAATTGATGTAAAAATGGTATTTCCTATTTTACCTATACCATTTGTGTACCCTCAATAAAATCCTAAGCAAAAACAACAAAACAATATTTCTCATTTCTTTATAATTAATTCATTTTAATTATTCTAATTATAATCTAAGTCTAGTTTAAAAATCCTTACAATCATCATTTAGCTAGTCAATTTTGAAAATCTTAAATTTAGATATAGAATTAATTTTATTGAAACATCAAATTTTATAATTATCTATTATTCTAAAGGTCTGTTGGTAAGCTGATAGTTTGAAATTAAAAGTATTCTTTAAAAAAGAAAGGATAATTATAAATAATTATTTAATATCATCAAATAATCAATTATATGTTGAATACTAAAAAATTATTACATTAATTAAGATTCCACAACTGGTGGTTTTTTAGAAATAGTCTTTAGCCAATTCTGTATTTACTAATTATTTGAAATTTTAGAGTGTTTAAGAACTGAAATCTAAGAAATCTTGAAATACACCAAATTATAATCTTATTATACATATCAAAATCATACTCATAAAATCATGTTATAAAACTAATATTTAAGATAGAATTTAAGATTTTGTTTAATTTGTTTGTTCTATATTTCATCTTTATTAGAATATTAAATCAAAAAGTTAGTCACCTTATTAGATAAATACTTAAATATAAGTCATTGCCCAATTTTTAGTACTAACTTTGTCAAAACTCCTTTACTCTTTTACTCTAATCAATGATCATCATTACAACCATTTTTATCTGGAAACATTTACAAATATAATTCAACATATTGCTAATCTTGATACTGATTACAGTAAACAAGAAACAATATTTATTTGCTGAACATTTTGCACAATTTTAGTGCCAAAATTTACATACACCTATTCATATCTAATATGAAATATAAATAAAATCACCTTATCTAATTAAACAGCCCATTAAATTTAATACATAACCAAATATTAACCTGAATATGCCAATAATAAATATCCATATCATCTATCCTTAATAAAAATGCAATCAATCATCTCCAACTTTTTTATACATATAACCAGGTTATGTATAACCTCCATCATAAAAACCATCAAAAACCTTTTTTATTAATAATAAGATGAATCATTAACTAAAATAGATTACATAAGAAAAATAGAATTCAACGATAATTATGTATCATATTAATACTTAATCATTTATTGTTTTGAAATATTTAAGAATTAATAATCTTCTCAATAATTGAATGTGTACATTACTTGAACTTTATTAGAATTGTTAATTATTGTTAATAATTCTTATAAAATATTTAATTATAAAGTTATTTGGCAGATCCATAAATATTTAATTAATGTATAAATCTATCTATTTTATA